ATAGCAAACTGACACGTGGAGCAAAGACACTTCCGGCATCAAACTCGTCGACCTTCAGCGTGTAAATTATTACTGGATTGCCTCGTTTTCCATTTTTGCCAGGCAAATTTCTGCATCAATAACAGCTGCTATTGGTTTTCAGCCGAACGAGCTCGATACCTTTAATTGGCAATGCCATGGAACGACAAAGTGCTATCAGACATCTGCAACAAGAACCAAGACACGGCGAAGGGTTAATAACCTGGTCTGTGGGCATACAGATTGTCGTAATAATGACGACTGTACTAGTCTGTAAACTTTAAGTTTTGGGACATTTAAGAACATTATTGCTATTACAAGAGGGCAGATGATAGGAACACGAAATTAAAAAGTGTATGAAGTGAGGTGAAGTTTGGTCACTGATAGCTCGGGCGAAAATAGTTATGATACTGAATAAGAGCTTTGGTAAGTTAAGACGTGTGGGAATTCGGAAGAGCAATGGAAAAGGGACGGGGAAAGGATTGTTGAATATGTGTAGCTGCTTATGCTTATTTAAAAATATTTTGATTATGCCTAGGTCAAGACGATTTGATAAGTTTTGTAAGATGGAAACATTTATCACTGAGACTCCGACAACGCAATCATGTTCAAGACACTTAGTAACGCGTTGGGTGGAAAAAGTGTCTCACTGCGCGTGGAATGTATTTCTTCAGAAATGAATAGGTGAATACTTGTTTAGTGTTATTGTATCCGAAGTTATGTTGTAAAATATCGAAGGTTGAAGGCCACAGCTCGCAAAACCACCCTGCTGTGCATGTGTCTGGAGGTACGCTGCTACTAGGTGTACAACAGAGTTTTGATAAGCACGTAGGGTGCTCCGTTGCTGACAAAAGCTGTCTAGCTTCAGCTGCGATGAATAGGACATATTGGCCATTGACCATTCGTCTCTATCTTGACTATTTTAACACAAATTTTTAATTTTTTTTTAGCCCGAGTGAGCGGAGATGGCGTCGATTTAATCAAGTTTTTATTTCAATGTAAGAACCGTAAGAAAAGGAACAAACAGAAAGGTTGGCATTACATAAGAATTATGAATTAGGACTATTATTACATAAATTGCCGTACTTTTTTATTGGCTCTGATGCCTAACTGTAATCCGTTTCCTTTTTTATAATAGGTGGACCTTTCATCGTCCACGCAATCGGCGACGCTGCCATGAACGCCTGGTGGGTATGATGTGGTGCCGGACGCCTTATCATTTACAGAGGAGATGCTGCTTGTTGCAGCGGACTCATTCAGTCGCCGGCACCAAGAACAAGAGAGGATGAGAGAGTTGGTGAGGGAATGGAGTTTGGCTTGTAGATGGAGAGATTGAGGGTAGAGGTGGAGAGATTGAGAGTGGAAGATAGAGCGAGAATCCAGGAAAAGGAAGAGAGGAGGATAGCAGAGTTAGAACAGCAAAGGCTGATGGATGTTGGGGATAGGAGAGGTATTGAGATCAATGATAGTAGAAAAAGAGAGAGAACCTATGTTCCAATTTGTCTCCCGATCCGAAAATACGCGGGAGTGAATTTTTCAACCAATCGAATAATTCTTAATACACCATCGTATAATAATAATGTCTTAGAATGATGATGTATGTTTGTTGTGTCCGGAACTCATTCACTGATTAACAATATTATGATGAACAAACATAGATTTCGCGTCTTTGAAGAATTAAGTCAATCGGTATAGTCAAATTCATAATATCTATTGCCAATGTATATACGTAAATTATATGGGCATCGAATTGTTGATTGTTGGGTTAGGGATGATTGATGACGAAAATTGACTTCGCGTCCAAGCCATCTTTATAATATACATTACGTCCCAAAATGAAGCTTGCTTGGTAAGCAAGATGACAATAAGATATGTTTGGCATAATTTTATTAATTAGCTCTGCAACGTTAAATATAAAAATCTATTGACTTATCACCACAATGGCTTCTATGTTATTCGCAATATCCTTACATGCTATTATGGAATACTACTAACAATCCCAATAGATGATCTCGATCACTTTATCTTCATCATTTTGACATCATGTTTGTATTAGCTGCTTACTCAGTATTGGTAATGCCAATTGGTTTTATATCGACTAATGCATTAACAGTTTCTACATTCCTTTGCCGTCCGGAGAAGAATGTTCATTATGAATTTGTCGGCCGATAACAACGCGTGGTCTTTTTCTCGTGTCATGTAATTGTTTGCGTAATTTTAGTTGATATCTCGGGAAAGTAATAATTATAATGTCTCTAACATGATAATAAATAATAGTTATGTCAATTGTTTTGTATTTATTTGAAATTAACGAATACTAAATACATCATTCGACAGTATAATTAACAACATCACACAATAAATGTGTAAAGTTTAAAGCATCTTCTTTTCTTTCCGTTATTCCGCCTTGTGGGCTTTCGCATCGTCCTTCCGATTAGATTGTTTTTCGTGTCATATACAGCTGCCAATTACGATTCGAGTTTTTTAGATATGCGTTTCTAACAATTGCACTTATTGGTGATCCTACATCAATTGTTAAAAAAGGCCTTCTTTCTCATATCATTTGATTAAATGAGCGATGAGCTAGATCATACGTTTGATTATCGGAAAGATTATTGATTGTTGAGATTGGTGCGAGTCAAACAGAGTTTAGGTTTGCACACTCAAGGGTCACATCAAAGTAATAATGAGCAGTTCGACATATTAGACAAGCGATTGCATCACGCTCAATAATAAACTGATAGAAAAAGACTCTAGAGCTCTGGATTATTTCGGCAATGAGAATTTTTGTGTAAAAAGACTTCAGAAAAAGGGGTTTCGGAAGACTAATGTTCCATAAAGAATGAAAGAAAAAACTTTGTAAACGTAAACAAAGCCACAAGACATATATGAATCTCAGATGATACATTTGAAATTTGAAATTAGCAATTGTTTTTGAGCCTTACTAATCAACCGAGATGTTTCATCTGTTTTTGTCACCATTTTCCTTGTCTGCACAATTCTTACATTCCACACTAATGACAGCGTCTTCAAAAATACAATGAACTAAGGAGTTTTTCAGAGTATACTGTTTATCAATCAACACCGAGAGAGCACGCTCATTAACATGGCATTATAACTTCTTGTAATACAGTATATCTCTATCGTAATATTAAAAAAAAAGAAGCCCTGTCTAATAAAACAGATTATAGATAGCTAAAAACATATGTGTTGGTCATTCACCAGGTTTGGCTCTTTTTTTTTTTTAATCCAACGTTTTGACTGTCATTGGTAAGAATAAATCTAAAGCGCATTTTATTTTGATTCATTGTTTTTTTACCCTGTGAATTGCACACAATACCTTTTTTGGAGTTTTTCCTCACGTTGTGCATATTTTAGATCGAGTCGGGGAATTCAATAATTACAATTTCTCTAACAATAATGTGACAAAATAATTATAATTGATTTGTTTTGTGTATTCTCTTATCTGAAACTAACGAATATTAAATTTAATATTGGACGGTATAATTAGCAGCACAATAGATGTGTTGAAGCTTAAACCATCTGTCTTGTTGAAGAAGCTTCGATTGTTTTTCGTGTCATACATAAATGCAATTGCAGCCGCCAATTATGATTTGTGAATTTGTTTACGGATTTTTTAGGGGTGCTTTTAACAATTACGCTTCTTCGTGTTCCCACATCAATTGTTGAAAACGCCTACTTTCTTATAGAACTTACCAAATTGATGCGCTTCATTTAACTAAATGTGCAAGATAAACTAGATATAGAAATAACTATACATTTTTTCTTATCGAATCAGACGGGAAATTATTGATTATTGAGTCTAGCCCCAAGGGTTACAAAGTTACATTGGAATATCGTCAAGGTCAAGACAACTGGATGAAAGGATGCTAATATCAATTTCTATCAGGCCAAAATCGTCTAAGCATTATACTGAATTTTTGTCTTGGGACATTATTGAATCTGTTCGAATCGTTATGACGATGACGCAAAAGATTTGGAAATAGCTCATTCATGCTGCTGCAACAAAAAGACAAACAGGTGAGTTTACATTTATAAATCACGTGAACCAAAAAATTACGCTGACTTTAAAATACATCTGACGAGCAAATATATAAGCCAACACTTCGCCTTACCCTGACAAAAAAGTTGTATCTTATCGCAACTAATCCTCTCATCTCATTATAATATTCAATGTTGCCTATCCTAACAAAGAATCCGAAACTCAACGTTGCTTATAACTGGTCTCACGTCAAACATTTCAAGACCAAAACGAAAGAAATGGTGAACAAAGACCGTTCAAAAGGCCTCACACATGCGGAGCTGCTAATGCAAGACTTCAGTTTTTGTGGATATCAGAGCAACATTAAACGGTAAGAATCACTTTCTCTGTCAGTTAATGTTGCAATATCAATACGAAAGCACGCATCTTACAAGCTTTTTTATCTTAAAAGGTGAACATGATGTTTCAGTTTAAGCCATTTCGCCATATGTGTTTGGCTTGCTGAGTGACGAAAATGGTGTCCGACTTAAGCCATTTCGTCCTATCGTTTGACTTTGCGGACGTGTCCGATTTAAGCTATTTCGGCCTATCGTTTGGCTTGGCGGCGTCTCCGATTTAAACCGTTTCCTCGTGTCGTTAGGTTATCGGACCCC